CAGGTGTGTGTATCCAGTCAAAGTATTCAGTACAGTCCTACAGGAGGTCAAAATGTGAGCTTGAATAGCTCAGGGGTAACGTCTCTGACTGCAGCACTGGATGACGTGGGTTCGAGTCTCAGAAGTGACATGAGTTCCTTAAAGTCTGCGGATACGCTTTGCTGACGATTGCCAACAAACATGAAACCTAGGTCCAAGGCCTCCTACCGATTGACTCCGATCATCTAATATCAATAATATTAGTCACTTGATTCCAAACAACAATAGTAATTCTATAGAATGGAATTTTCAGCGTTACGTAGTCGAATGAAATACACCCTTCTCATGTTAACTCTAACTGTGTATACAAATTTACATGTATCTGTGAGAGTAGTTACATTGGGAGAACAGAGGGGAGAACTATACACCACCAATTTCCTGAGCATCTTACGAAACGCCTACGTCTCAAGGGATAAAATGGTTACAATAGTTCCATTACCAGGTATCTCTTTGATACGTATCATGAGGCGGACACCGCCAAAGCCTTCAAAATTATCAGTAGGCAAAAGAGTTCAATTCTCCTCAAGTTCGCCAGCACAATCTCCATCAAGCTCCTGAAACCCAATTTATGTGTGAGAAAGAAGCAGTTATCAGGCCTTTCCTTATCGAGCTAACTAGATTTGTTCATTCTCTCTTTCATCTGATTATGTAACGCTGAAAATTCCATTCTGTATGATTGTTATTGTCCAGAATAAAGTGATTATTATTACCATTCTATGCATACACTGATTTTTCTGTCTAATCTTGAACTCTCTGTGGGTAAGTATGTTAAAATTGTTTCTATACATACACTTAAAAATATCTTTAGGCTGTAAGCAGTTGATGAGAAGCCAACGAAATAAACAATGATGGTATCATTTTATTCTGCACAAACCACTGTTGTCCCTGCTTTATTCAAATGAAGATTCTCATTTCAGACGACGATGAATTCTCTAATCCACTGAGTAATAATTTGTCACTATTCTTCTGTCCCAGTAATCAGATAGAATTTTCACAGATGTCTCATATAAATAAGATGACTTCCCTCCTATCCTCACCCACAAGTTACCTGGTTTCTTAAAATTACTAAGCTTGTTGTTTCACTGTCATAATATTTAGAGGTTATTTCGGTAAACAGAAAGACTAGCGGTCAGAGAGTGAGAACGCACGAATGACCTTCAGGTCACCAATGAGACAACGCCCATCACTTCAAGAAAAATACACATGGTAATAATACAACAAAATGAAAACGAAATTCTCCCCTGACGTGACTCAAAAATACTTCCCAATTAAACAACTAGAGAGTATTAGTTCTCAAGTTCCTTAATTATCAAAAAACAGTTTTACCTATATGAACAACAACCGCTTCTTATCTCATTTTATTATTTACAAGAAGATTAGAGATGATAATTAAATATCCTAACCGCCGTCCTAACCCTAATCGTAATCCTAAGCATAGCTATATCCCTAACACTCACTCTAACCCTGATACTAATCCTAAAGCTAACGTCCTATCAATCCATGATCTGAAGAGTATTTAAAAATGAGATCGGGTTGAAATTTCCACCTCATTTCGTGCACAGAGTTCATACTGGCGCTATAATAACAGCACGTTCAGCAATCCAACCAGTGGAATGCCTTCAAGGTCAGTGACAAGTTTGAACCAAGGGTCATTAACATTTGGGCCCGCCGTTACACTAACAATCATACATTCAATAGAATTGTTATGGTTACTCGCTATTAGCAGGCTATTTCACTCAGGATCTTTAAAACAGCAGTATGCAGCCAAGAAGATGAGAATCCTTCGGTATGAGAAAGCTTATAGACAAAAATTTCATATTATGCCATAATGATTCTGGTCTGAAAAACTCCCCACTCTTTGGTTTGACATTAGATAGCCATTAGTGTCACGCGTTTAGTCTTTGGTGTGTGTTGCTGCAGACTCAATTCACTCAATCAAATTTCATACATTTATTCCCCTTAATGAATTTGAACAAAGCAACAACTACAATTTTAGCAGAATAAAATGGTACCATATTTTATTTCGTCGCCTTCTCTTCAACTGCTTACAGGGCAAAAACATTATTAAATGTATCTACAAAGACAATTTTAACACACTTGCACAGAATTCATTTTAAACAGAAATCAATCGATCAATATACACATACACTAATAATATATACACATATATATATGTGGTGACAGCGAGCTGCCAGCCAATTGGTAGACATTGATCTACGCTGATTGGTGGAAATTAATCTGGGCTGATTCAACAACCGATCACAGCTGACCTAGACGTGGACAAATATGATTCGCAGACAAGTGGCTCGCATTTCCGAGAAATATCGAAAACGAGAAAGCAGAAGACTGCGTTTGTTTGCAAACAACCAGTCAGAAGACCGCCTTCTTTCTGCGGGCAGAGCCTTATTAATGTACGTAAAATACATATAAATACCTGTTGGTTTTCGTAATAAAATTGATCTGTTGCCTGGCCCTTGTCTTCTGTTGTTACATTTGGTGTCGCTGCCTACCGACAAATGGAAAGCCTATGCCCTGCAGTTTTTGATGGAGATATATGGATCTTCGGGCAGGACTTCGAGGCTTCTTCGCAGTCGAGTGGCGTTCAAGATCTGTCAGCGATGAGGCTGCTACTTGGGACGCTGCTGGGAGGTCGGGAGAAAGCAGCATATGGAAGTGTGAGGCGAAATACCTACGAATGTGCGACAGGGTCAGGCAAACAGTTTCCAAAGTGGGAAGGACCATATATGGTCACGTTGAGATGGGGTTACGCAGACACAATCGCAATGGTAAACACCGTTAAACAAGCGGACATCCGCAAGCGCCGAGATTCCAGACAGCAAGATAACAGAGCAAAGCCCCAAGAACCGAGAAGACCGAGCCGAATTCAGTCCAAGCTATTTGACGGGGGGACGAGTGTGGTGAGAGCAAGCTGCTAGCCAATTGGTAGACATTGATCTACGCTGATTGGTGGAAATTAATCTGGGCTGATTCAACAACCGATCACAGCTGACCTAGACGTGGACAAATATGATTCGCAGACAAGTGGCTCGCATTTCCGAGAAATATCGAAAACGAGAAAGCAGAAGACTGCGTTTGTTTGCAAACAACCAGTCAGAAGACCGCCTTCTTTCTGCGGGCAGAGCCTTATTAATGTACGTAAAATACATATAAATACCTGTTGGTTTTCGTAATAAAATTGATCTGTTGCCTGGCCCTTGTCTTCTGTTGTTACATATATATATATATATATATATATGGTTAGGACTCTCGCCGACCATGCACATGGTCCGAGGTTCGAGCCCCTGCCGGCGCACACCCGATATCTATGGTCGGCCTGCAAAATTTGGGCTACCGATATCCATGCTGAAAATGCCATACTTGTACTGAAAATACGGTGTGGCATCAAGCTGTAACCAAAATATAAAAATATATAATATATATGCAATATTGAACACTATTCCGAACAATAATAGTCATACACAATGGAAACTTTTCAGCATTTCCCATTCGGATGAAAGACAGATGAAAAATATCCAGTTACCAGGGCAATGAAAGACTGACAACCGCTTCTTTCTGGACGCATAAATCAGGTTTAAGGCGCTTGATGGAAATGGCTTCAGCAAACTTAAGGAAAATTGAGCTCTTTTGCTTATTGATAATTTTGAACGACTTTTCGACGTCCACCTCATGACCCGTGTCGAGGAGATGCCTGGCGATGGCACTGTTTAAAGCATTTGTTCCCTTTAGACGTAAGCTTTTTGGTACATGTTCAGAAAATCGTAGATGTGCCCTTCTTTCTGTTCTTCCAATGTAACTGCTCCCGCAGGTACATGTAAATTTGTATATACAGTTGGAGTTGTTAACATGAGAAGGATATCTATCGATTTTCGATTGCACCGAAGAGCAAGTTGTTCGATGGATGAGGACGAGCTTAGCTGCAGGATAGGCTATGGCTAGTGATGTGGTCAGCCTTCTGTTGATCATTGCTGCAATGTTTTCGCCTTTATAATCAAGCTTAAAATGGTACCATACTTTATTTCGTCGCCTTCTCTTCAGCTGCTTACAGGACAAAAACATTATTAAATGTACCTACAAAGACAAAGGCTATCTGACCACTATCCTAGGTGGTTTGCCATCACATTGTACTCTGAACTGCTGTTAATAGATTTCTGGAAGTAATCAGGAGAGAGCCTTGGGCATAGATTTCGTACTTGCTAGTACTCGTCAACAAGGCGTATCTGTAACCTTGAATGAAGGAGTTCATACCCTTCTGAGACTCATCCCACATCTGACAGAACTCATTCTGCACCAAGCGAAGGACTAGACCAATGACACTAGTTACTATCCAGTTTCCAATCAAAGTATCCAATAACATCAGTCTTATAGGATGTGAACTGCAATCCCCAAATAGCTCATTGGTAACGTCTTTCTCTCTCTCTGACTGCAGCACTGGGTGATGCCGGCTCGAATCTCAGGAGGGACATGAGTTCCTCCAGTGTTGCAGATACGCCATGTCGATGAGGGCCAACGAGCACGAAACCTAGGTTTGGGGCTTCCTTCCAACAGCCTGTATCCCTCTAACAAGCATTTAGTCTCTCAAAAAAATACCGAACTCACCTACGATAGATATAAATTTGCGCAGAGGAATTGATGAAAAACTGAGCAGACATATCTACAGAAAATTGATATTTGGCGATCACATAAACATTCATATAACTGGTTATTCATAGGCTAATGCTCATGATCACTCTTATTGTGCATCTGAAGTTTTGTTGACCAAGGGAAAGAGATTATATATATCAATAACATTTATTTGTACAGGAGAGGACAGTGTTTACATACAAACATAGAAACAAAACAATAATGAATGCTTAGACAACACAATCATACAAACAATGAATACACCTCAGCAGAAGCATTTTCGTCAAAAACAGTAGTCTAGGCTAACATAACTTTCAGGCAAGAAGATAACCAAATTTCTGTACATTAAGTTTGAAATTAAAGTTGAATTAACCGCTACAACCCTGAAGGACAGGATTTAATAAAACCAACACAGAGCGAAGTATTCTCATGTGAGTTGACGGAGAAGCATAGTAACAACGTCTTGTTTAAATCGACAATGACATACTTTTAACCGGTAAAGATGAATTCAAGAATCCTCTCGAAAATTGATCTCACTGCATTCCCCTCTTATCCAGTATATGATCCAATTGAGACTAAAATATGTGTAAAGTATGCCTTATACTTAATCGATCGAATATGATAATTTAAACTTGTCAATCCATCATATGGCATACGGCATACAGCAGTTTTCAATAATTTCACATGTTCTGATACCATAGATTGTGACTGTTGACTATGCGGTATAGCTTGATAACGTGCTATTGATTCATCTGCATGAATATATTGAATATTAGCAGTTTTCAATCTTATCTCCATATCATCATCTTCTTGACCCCATCCCCAATAACTATTTGAATAACCATTGACAGTTAAAAAGTGTTCCACGGATATCTTCAATACACCACCAATTAAAGTATCATAGAGAAGTGTGAAATTTCTTGTATCTAATGCAACACCCAAGTGAACTGGTGTTAAAGCTGTTTGTTCATCACATCCATATGGGATACGATCATTTAAAGGATTTAAATCGGTATCATGAAATACAATACAAGCAAAGTGAAATAATTTCATCGCTTCTATAAATCCAATATTCATTAGCATAGCTTTATTTATCAGCGTGGTCTCTTCTTGTTCAATGACAAATATACGATAGCATAAGTGTTGTTTTTGTAAAATTGATATCAAGTTAGGCAATATTGTGTTGAGTTGTTTCCATCGATTATTACACACGAAAAGAATAGCTACACCAGATTTTGGAGAGGAATTACACAAATCCTCTGAATCAACAGACTTTCCGCTGTTGTTATCTTTAAACATCCAAGATCCACCGATTAAATGATGTGAAATAATAAGGCTAGTTTTCTTTGGCGCTCTTCTGCTTCTTCTTCGTCGATTCTGTGGTATTATTTTTTTCAAATCTTTACAAATTGTTTGACAAGTTTGTTTTTCTTTGATATTCATCAAATTTGTTCTTTTTTGTAATACTTCCAATGTGAAATTGAACTCAGTGGGGGGGATACATTTATTAGGTGTATGTGAATTGGATAGATTTGAAATGGTAGTAATAATGAAAGTCAATATAGAAATAATTCCTATGGATAAAATCACTTTCGTATATTTATGCCCAGAACGCATTTCGATAGAAGGGTAGTGTTTGTTTCTTTCAACTAATTTATGGACCATTACCATGTCATGTCATGTCATCGTTATTATCTGTAGATAACCAATTAGAATTGAGGTCATAAGCGTAGTCATTGACAGTAGAGGCGTGCATGATGAGTAAGTGGTGTGTGGTAAGGTCATTAAGTGGCAAATGTCAACTTACATTAAATACGATTTGACTCAACACACATAGAGTAACAGTCTGTGTGTTCAGGTCAGGGCAGGTATAATTTTTTCTTAACAATAGCGAAAATGATCATTTAGACGTTTGAAAGACGACAGAAAACTGTAGTAGAGAATATCCTTTTCTATGATTTCCTCTTCTGTCTCTACAATTATGTATATATGTTTATATACATAGAATACTTTAGAATAACAGTCATTAACAATATTAGTGTTTTTTTAAATACTATCGATTTGTTAAGTAAGATCAATGGAATTACAGTTCACTAAAGATGCATAAATTATAATAAGCATAAAAATGTAATGGTAAATAGAATATCAAATAAAATTAAGGAGATTTACAGAACAAATCGAGAATCATTGAAACCTTGATGGCCAGAGGGATAAGGACAGTGTCTGAAACAGCCAAATTCTTTTGGATATATAAGTTAGGCTTCTTAATGTGGATCCCAACAGCCTCAGAAACATGCAGTAGACCAACTCTTAAAGTTGGTATGCAGTAGATAACCTTGAAAGCCGCATTGATAACATCAGTCTTGTGTTCTGTATCCACACGTTGAGATAGAATAGCACTATGAATAGATTTTGTTTGTCCTTTACTTAATCACACAGGATGGCGTTAGGAAATCTGACGAGAAACACGCCTAATTGCACGGCCTATACAACTAACTGCCTCCACAGGAGCAGTCAAACTGGTAAATACACATAGAAGAGGCGGAATTAAGCAGATTATCTTCAACTCACGAAAGCAAAATAAGGGTGGTTTTGAAGACAAAGAATAATTCAACAGCAGGGAATGCTGCTTTTACCTACGTATTCCTTAGGCATTGTGTTGATATCTCACTGATCTTATCTCCGAGGAAATGAAGTTTTCTTTTCAAAATGTCTGAATGAATATTTTCGCTAGTATATCGAGTTGTTAAGATCAATGGAATTGCAATCCAGAAGCATGTTTAAGTGATAATAAGCATAAAAAGTGAAATACTAAGTTGAATATCAGATAAAATTAAGCAGAAAATTAATGCAACAAACTGAGGATTATTATTATTACCATCATTATTTTTCCCTTGGGTTCCGAGTGGAACATACCGCTTCAATAACACATCCCCACTTTGTCCTATCTTCTGCCATCCTCTTCAGCTGGGTTCAAGGTTCCCCGCAATCTCTGATCTCTTTTTTTTCCAAGTATTTGCCTTTATTTTAATCCTTCCTCACACTACCTCCTCCATATTACCCTAGGAGGACACACACGTTGCTTCCCATTGGGATTCCACTCCAGTGCCTGGCGCGCGATGTTATTCGACGGTTTCCTCAAAGTAAACCCCATCCAACTCCATTTTCTCCTATATATTTGTTGGTTGAACAATAGGCTCTTGGTTGGTTTGTTTTTCAGAATTCTTTGTTCCTAATTGTTTCTGGCCATTTGATCTTCAGTATGAAGATAGCCAGTGAAGGCAACTGTTGATAAAAGTCTGCAACAACCTGTTGGAAATCCTTTTCGTGACACCGTATAGGAGGACCGACTTGACATTTGTGTTGAAAATGCGAATCTTGTACCTTATGTTGAGTGCAGAATATTTCCAAATTGCTTTCAGATTGATGAAGGCGTATCTTGCCTTTCCTATTCTGTCTGGCTGACTTTGACGTCCTCATCCGTTCCATGTGTAGTTGAAGCTATGCTTCCTAGATAAGTGAAGGAGGTAACCTCTGTTAAATCTCTCCCATTTATAGTGGGTGATTGGTGCTGGTTGTTGTTATTGCTGTTGCCTGGTTATCTTCATCACCTCTGTCCTCTCTATGATCACTTGAAGTTCTATCTCCACAACCGGCTACCTCTGACAACGTGTTGGTTTTCACCTATAAGTCTTTAATTTTGTGTGAAACTAAACACAAATCATCCACACGCTAAATTCAGATTTTCTGGAATCTTCTTGTCGGTGGCCCAGCGTATTGCTGTCTTCTCACTGCCAACTCACAGTCTGATGCATGATCCAGTCCACCACAATTAAGAATATCATCATGGGTGATAATAAGCAGCCAGTGTGTCTTAATCCTTTATTCACATCGGACGCCTCACTGAGTTTTATGTTGTGGATCACCTAACATATGGCAGTGCCACATAGCGAGCTGTTGGATAAGGTTGATAAAGATTTTGGCACTGCACACCATAGTGTTGAAGTAATTTCCAAATTACCTCTCGATCAACGCTGTCCGTCAAAGACCTTTTCAAGGTCACTGAAGTAGAGGCAGCGAGGGATTTGACTGCCATTCTATACTTTGTTCTGAGATGACGATGAGTAGAGTTGCAATTTGATCAACAACAGATTAATGACAGTTAAAACACAATGATAATAATGACAATAATAATGTAACATTGATGAAAATAGTAAAGTTTATATTCGATGAACTCATTAGATAAAATATCCATTGATGTTATTAGCAGTCTTCTATCTACTACAGCTGTTATATACGTTGTTGGTGTAGTCAGTCAAGCGATGCTACTCGTGATTACTGCATTTGTCACCAACTCAGAGTCCCTATTTCACCTCAACGTTTTTGCAAAGTATGACAAATACAAAATATACAGAAAATATACTACTTAAGTAGTTTGGATTTACTTAGCCATTATAATTAAAAGGGTTTTATATTTATTGTCTTGTGATAATCAAAATTAAAGTATCAAATCTTAGGTTCACTTGAATTCACAGATCCTGAACTGCTCTTAACCGATATAATAGAAATTGATTATTTGCAGTATAAGATTATTTATGTGTATATATATCGTGAGAAAACTTATTCATTTTGTAATAACAGCAGTAATAATAACCACACTGTTTTAACACTAATTAACACTAATAGAGGACGATGAAATGTCGAAGACATTGTTATTTTAGTAGGGTGTGCTAACTGTCATAAGATTATAGACTACAAATATCAGTAAAGTAAAATGACAAGAAGAGAAAGAGAAATGGAACATGAGCCGTTTCATGTAGTTTGGAGTTCCAGAGCACAAAGGACTAGATTAACACAAAATACTGTATTCTTCAGTATGAATCAGAAACATGGCGCCTGCGTGATGAGAAGCATTTCTAACAGGCTATTAAAGACGTTTATCAAGTGTTATCTTCGCTGGTTTCTTACTAAAGATCAGATGGTAGGTCAGAAAGAATTATTAAAGAGGAACTTTGGGAAAGAACCAATCTAGGAAGTATCGCTCAACAAATATTCCGAAGGAAATCGAGATGGATCAAGTATACGCTGAGGAGGCTGTCGGGTGATACTGTACGCCAGGCTATTGCTCGAGTGGAGATCGATGTGTGTCTGATGGTGACAAAGAGGAGATCGTGTGTGGGGCGGGGAAGAGGAGATGAAAACTGATGGACAATCATGTGGCCAGTTGAAAAGGACCTCAGAGAATGGAACAAAATCGATATGTGCCTGTAAAGTCTTATGTTCCACTCGGAAATCAAGGGGTAATAATAATAATAACTATATTGACCTCACAAACTTCGGTGTTAAGATAAACTGAATAAAGTACTTTTACACTACAATCCATTGACTGGTTCCACAGCTGAGTCGTGCAAATTAACCAACGAGTAGTAATCCATTGGTACGTAGCAGGCTTTCGTTTCATCCTCAATCGTCACTAATTACTGAAAAACGAAATAAGTAGTTCAATGAAGAAGAGGTAATTTTTGGTGTGCACTCATCCTCCTCTTTAGCTGTACAGTCGTTTTCATATACAACATTTTTCACACAAAACAGAATAGTACCAAAAAGTGATCAATTATCATAAGCATAGTTGCTAATATTAATCAATATACAAGAGAAGTTAAATCAGACTGATAGAGTTACATAATGAGATGAACAATCCAATGAATGACTAATAATCAGAGTGCACATAGAAATAAAAGAAATGTGATACTACGTAAGACTTCCAAAGAATTTAAAGATGAGAAAGAGTTAAAAACAACAAAAACAATCAATTTGGTAGAAAATGACAAAGTTGTTACCATGAGAGAGAAGTGGTTAAGAGATTCTCTTTTGTATGCACAGCTCCGGTTTCTTTCTCTCTCTCTCTCTGAATGGCTAGAGCTTTAGTAACGCAAAATTGTGTTTTCTTTAACAAGTTGTTTCTCACTTCACAGATCACTTTGAGAAGGGAGTCTGTTGAAATAGGATAACCAAGTGTTGTCAAGGTGTTCAATTATGGCAATCAGCTTGAAGTCATTGCTTCCATTCTACAACCATATGGGATCCTCCTCTTGAATTCTTTTAGACAAGATGGGCATTAAATGACAAATATAGAAGGTAACACAGGACTAGATTAACCAACATGTGGACACAGAAGTCGACATATGATAGAGCTTACCTTTAAGGATTCTGCAGACCAGTGTGCCACCGGAGAACACTGCTTTTAGAATTGCTGAAAAGAAAATTCTTCTCTTAAGGACACTACAAGTTACATCTGCATTCAAATCAAGGTGCATATATAGTTTTTCATGTCTCTGAATTCTCGTTGTGATGAACTTGACCATGAATCTCGGTGGATATCCATTTTGGATAAAAGTTTCCTTCGAAAGGTCGAATGCTTCTTCTGGATTGTCAGAGCCACAGATACATCAGGTACAATAAGGCAAGCGATTTGACCATTCCACACGGGGTTACTACGAGCTGACTTTCTTAAGGTTCCTTTCAGTCTTCTTATCAGTTCAACATCAGGAAAGGAAATTTTAGATTCCTTTTTCATTTCGGTAGTGAATGTTATTGATAGATGGCAGTTGTAAAGT